TTTCTTTAGGATAGCTGCAGAGTAAAAACACTTTAGTTTTGCTTTACATAGCATGTATCACCTGTGACTTGAGAAAAAAAAAATCAAGGATATTTAGGTTGGGTTCAAGAACAAAACATCCTAGGGAACCAGCAGTTAGCGTCGCTGGACTCCCACGTAGTCAACCGCGGTTCGCGTCCCGGACCCGGTGGCTTAAAACTCACGCAGGGCACGTGTGTGTGCGTGCCCAAGATCCCGAGACGAGAATGGAGGAGAAGGGATTGCGGCGTGACCATCCCCTCTGGAGGGTGATTTCTCGCTTTCTGTCTCTCTGTCTCTGTCTGTCTGGCGAGCGCATGGGCCCTATAGCAAAAACCTCTCAAAAAAAAAAAAAAATCCTAGAACATCTGGTAATTTAGTAAATGCCACTGGATCATAATAATGCAAACTGAAATGTTAGGGGAAGGGAAGCTAAGAGGATCATTTGGACTTTTATCACCTTCACTTGTCTTAGAGGTGCAAATGTAACCTTGAGTGTCAAGGTAATAGAGCAGTTAGCAGGGTTAATATTTAGGGTATCTAGAATCAAGATGGAACAAATGCATACACCTTTGTAAGGATTTCTTGTCAGGGCCTACACTTTCATAGATTTAATTTCACACACCAGATAGCTTCCTCTGCCTATTCATGCTCAAGAAACGTACCTCTAAAAGGGCTAATGTCATCATGAACTATTATTTGGGAGACAGTGACATCTTCTGGTAGTTTATAGACTAAATATATTATGCCAGACATTTCCCCCCAGAAACCAGCCAGTATATTTTTCTTTTTCTTCTTCTTTAATCATGATAACAGTGAGTGCACATGCACAGAAGAGAGAGAAGAACACCTTCCCAAGGGCTGGTCATGACGCAATCCCCTTCCTCCAGCCCTCCAGCACGTCAGATCCTGGATGTACAAGCCCAGCATGTTTCAGGCTGAACTTTAGTCACCATATGGGATCACATTTCTCCTAAGCAACGACTTACTCTGCACTAAGGAGCCAGCCCACCAGCCTTTGTTTTAAATGTATTGAGCCCCTATATGTGGATTCTTAAATTTCTGAAATATTTAATGAAATAAAACTTTATAAACATAACATTGCTATTTTGTTCCTTTCCTTGCTGTAATCCTTGACTCTAGTAGAAAATATTTTAAGTAGCTAACATTCTTTTGAGAGATTTTTGCCAGAGAGACAGAGAGAGAGAAAAAGAGAGAAATCACAACCCAGGGGGGATGGCCTCGCCACAGTCCTTTCTTCTCCATTCTTCTCTTGGGATCTTGGGCATGCACGCACATGCATTGGGCATGAGTTTTAAGCCGCCAGGTCAAGGACTCAAACCACGGTCTACTATGTGGGAGCCCAGTGATGTAACCATTATGCCATCTGCTGGTCCCCCATTAATTCTTTTCTTTATAATTAAAAGTTACCTGACCTATTATTATTATTATTACTTTTTTTTTTTTTTAATTTTTAGTTAGCCATAGGGCTCACTGCACTCACTGGGGAGAGATGAGGTAGCAGGTGTGGAGCTGGTAATCGTTCTCCTCTGGAGACTCTGAGTATGCACACTCACGCCCAGCCTGGTTTTCAAGCCACGGAGTACAGTCAGTCATGTGGGATCCAGCCACCTTAACCATCTGCCACCTGGCAGGCCCCAGGTTTCTCTTAATTCATGCAGTTTTCATCTATTTTCAGAATGCAGAAGGACTTTGGGAGTTCCTGCTCATCACCTCCCTATTATGTCCAACTTAATATGGGGAAATGTGATTCCAACATTTGGTAACATTAAAAAAATTTTTTAAAAGACTTCTCACAAGGGAACCAGCAGTTAGTGTAATGGCTATGTCGCTGGACTCCCATGTAGTCGACCGCGGTTCGTGTCCCGGACCCGGTGGCTTAAAACTCACGCCGGGCGCATGTGCGTGCGTGCCCAAGATCCCGAGAGGAGAATGGAGGAGAAGGGATTGTGGCGTGACCATCCCCCCTGGGGGGTGATTTCTCGCTTTCTGTCTCTATGTCTCTCTCTGTCTGTCTGGCGAGCGCACGCGCCCTACAGTGAAAATCTCTCAAAAATAAAAAAAAAGACTTCACACAAAACTAAGCCTAGGCCCTGTCTCTTCTAAGAAGCCTTCCCGATTGCCCTAGATTGGCTGTCCTTACTATGTAGATCTGTCACAGCATGTCACACTGATCTGTAATCATCTGCTTACTCGGCTACCTTTGTACCCACAGTGCAAATTCCTTGAGGGAAAGGACTCTCATTCCTATTTGTCTCAAGAACCTCACAGTGCCAAGCCTATAATATACCTATTGCCTACTTTTTTGAAGAGTATGTGTGTATTCAAATCACACTAGATGAGACTACTTGGACTTCATTCAAGCGGAGACTATTTCAGGGATCTATGCTCATCATGAGGATCCTCACCATGACGACAGCCAATGAATATCCTTTACACACTTTCACGTCATGAAATCCTAATAAGCCTCTATAGTGTGATCTTCATTTTACAGCTGGGAAAACTTGTTCTGGTCAGTTAGCGAAAGAGACAAGATTTAAACTCATTCAGTCCGTGCAACTGTCCTACTTACATCCTACCTCTTTCCAAAATGAGTTTCTATGGACATAATACAAGTCTTTTTTAAAATTTGCCAGAAGGCGCATGCAGAGCAAGAAAGCACTTCCCAAGAGAGTGTGGTCATGTCACAATCCCTTCTCCACCCTGTTGGGATTTTGGGTACAGGTGCACATGTGTCTAGCATGTTTTTCAAGCTGCCAGGGCCAGTATTCAAATCATGCTGTTGGCTATGCAAGATCCAGCTCCCTTAACCACCAGGCTACAGGGTGTCCCAGAAATCTTTTTAAAAAATAAACAAAAGAAAGGAAATAAATCAGGGCAAAGGAGAAACAAGGATTAAAAAAAAAATTAGATAAAGCCAGATAGTAAATATCAAATAGTGCATACTATAAACATCCTATACATTTGCTATAGGTGGACTACAAATTTGGCAGACCTTCTTAGCTGTAATACCTGAGAGTTGCTTAGAAGCCTATTTACCCCTAAACTAAAACTTTCTGTGGTCTTCAAAGAGTCTACGCATGTTAGAGTGAAGGGGCAGCATCACCCGTGGCATGTATGTAAGTTTCATAACATAGTCCAAAGCTAAGCAAGGTAAAGGAAACTTGATATGTAATCAAAACAAGGGAACCCAGCCAGGCACATGGGTCTTCACAGGGGGCTTACATTAACTCAGAATTTCTAGAGAAACTGGGTATAAAGTAACTAAAATCTGCTTATATCATTATACATTTCAAAAGTCCTTTTAGAAAGGAAAGATTTAGGGGACCATCAGATGATGTAATGGTAATGTCGCTGGACTCCCACGTAGGTCTTGACCATGGCTCAAGTCCCTGACCTAGTAGCTTCAAACTCACACTGGCACTTAAGCCCAGAATCCTGAGAAGAGACTACAGAAGGGATTGTGGTATGGCCATTACCTCTGGGAGAGTGATTTCTCACTTTCTATCTCTGTCTTTCTGGCAAGCATATGTACCCTATAAGTAAAAAAATCTCTCAAAAAAAAGGGGAAAGATTTAATATGGCTTAAGTTTATATAAGTCCATAATGGCTTTTATAGGCAGCATATATATGGCCCCATTTTTAAATGGCTTAGCCTTAGATTCAGGGTATGTCAGCAAAGGTAGAATCAGGAGACAGAAACCATAGCAGATAACTGAACAGGGAAATTTTAATATAATTTTAATTATTAACTAGTAGAAGCTGGTTAACTAGTTAAAGGGGTAAAGGAGGACTCTGAGAAGTACTAAAATAGGTACAAAAAACGGAAAAGGCAGAAGTAGCCACTACCTCTAGGCTAAGGAAAAGTGAAATAAACAAAGACTAAGACAGGCTTCCTCCATCTACTCTGAAGCTGACAGACTTCTTTGGAGATGGCATGGCTTCCACAGGAAAATTTAGCCTGCCAATGATGAAGAAACTCGTCAGGGTGTACAGAGTGAGAGATGACTGCTCGAGGGAGCAGTAGAACTATGGGAGCAGCAGCCCAATGGAGGTGTTCCACAGTGGCAGCAGGGCTGAGTCTGTAACCTGAGCAGTGCTAGAGCTCCTCTACCATGCTGCTGGTTTCCTATGGTGGATGAAAAGAGCCTCAAGCAGAAGCTGTGTCTTCTTGCTGCTGTTGCTTTACAATGCTGCTCTAGGACATGCTTAAATTTATTTGGTGCATACTCTGCTTACTCCCAGGTATTTTCACATATACCGTTTCTCTATCTTTTCAGGATTTGCGGCGTGCATGCATTGTGGCTGACCGTGTGGCATCTAGTTCCCTTAACCACTAGGCCATGGGATCAGCCCAGTATTTTCTAAAACTTCTGTTCAGGTAAATATTTTGTATAGTGGTTTTAGGGTAAAATGTGTTTCTTACTGAGTGTTACAATTTAAAAGCCACTGATATCAGCTGAAATGCCTATGTACTTAGATTCATTTGTTATGAAATTATTTCAAGACTAGTAAATCACAAAGTATGAAATCACAACCTAATGTGGAAAGTTTATCAAAGCTAAAATTTATTTGGTGTATACTTTGCTTAGTATCAGGTATTTTTCACATATTCCTTTTTTTTAATATGTAAAAGAATCCATGTGAGGTATTTTACAGATAAAAAAAAAAAAAAAGACCTACTCCCTTAACTTATTCCATGAAAAAGAGGGTTATATGCATTCCAAAATAAAAACAAAAAACAAAACCAGACCAGTACAAAACTCTCTTCCATTTCCTTTTTATACATTCTCTACATATGTCACACACTTTAGCATAAGGAGAACAGAAAACCAATTAAGTGAATATCTGTTATAATTTTTGTCTATAAGAGCTCTTCAGCCAACCAACTGTCTAAGTATAAGGGCTCTAAATGCTTTCAGTATCTGAAATCATTTCAAGATGATCTAGTACTTTTGACAATTTTGTTCACATAGGAACACTTAAAGCCTATAAATAGTACGATTTTTTCAGAGGCAATTTCTCATCAGAAAAAGGCGATGATAATAGTTCAACTGATGTAAGTGATTCAAATAAATTCCCATAGAGAAAGTAAGAAAAAAATTTCAGGAACAAATTTTGTAAAAACATAGCACCATTACTTCTTCAATGAATGAGCAAACTTGAAGATGTGAAAATCACCTAAGAATCACATATATTTCTTCAAATAATCTATTTTCATACTTAGAAATTCAAGTTACATAAGTTGTTATATTAAGCCTTCCTTCTAATCAAAAATCCAACACTCACATCAAGTTATTTTACAAAATAAATAACAATTCCCCCTACAACAGTAACTACTGGATTGTTACAGAGAAAAATTCTTCAACATTTTATCCCATGTGTAAACTTTTCCCAAAAGAAATATTGTGTTAGAAATAAGGCAGCTAATCTAGTCAAGTTGTGAATGTGTTTGACAAAAAACACTTTGATCTCTCCAATCTTTCTCATTTCTTAGGTTAAGTTTTTTAGTAATCCTATAAATTCTTTTTCTAAAACCATATAGTAAGGTATAGCTTACGCAGCAACTAGACATGAAAGCTTTCATTTTCTTAAAGTACCTTTTTAACTGAATGCTATAAGCAGTAATATCATCAAATTATATTTTATAATCAAATACTAAGTATTAAATATACAGAGTATGCATGTATGTGTATGTATTTCCAATGAATATTCATATTCAATGAATAAACTAGTACCAGTACACTAAACTTCATATATTTTAAGTGAATTGCTGGTTCCAGATAATTAAAACCCACAAACTCTATGGCAGCAACTTTAATACACATGTAGTTCTTTGAAGATAGTTTTAAAGCTACCACATAACAACAGAATATAATTTTTAAACTACAACTGACATTTATAGCGTAAGGCTCTGTGGTTGAATAATCAGCAAGTTGAATAAAAATTTCAGAGAAAGGTTTTGAAAAAGAAACCATGTTTCCTATTGTAATTTATTCTTTCCTGCCTAAAAATGCCTAATTATGGACACTAAAATATTCAAACAAAAGGTTCCTGAAATCCTAGAAGAGTTAAACTTCAGTAACAATAATTAATGAGGTCAGACTATCATGGCAAGCTGAAAACTAAACTGTTGGTAGCCAGGAGATACAACTAGTCATTTTTAAAGTAAAGTTTATTACATTTAAAACATTACAGCAGAAATCTCAAAAGTTTACTCATTAAATATAATTCAGTTCTTACAAATCTCCTTTTGAAAATGCAATTCATATATGCTGCAACTTCAGAGGCTGGAACTCAAAATGAAATATGAAGGCAGTATTCAGGGAAATCACATGAGAGTACTTTGTCAAATATTTGTACAAATCAGTATGTACCTCTTCTGTGATACAGTATGAAAAATGATTCTAGATATGTCCAAATAAATGCAGAAAAATACATTACTATTTGAGGCAGATCATGCTAAAATATAATTACAATGATTGGTTTGCACTGAAGATGTTAATGCTTTTAGTTTAAATCAATGAAATCAAGGTAGGTTAAATTTTGCAGTATTTGCTCAGTCTTTTGTACTAAACATTAGTTAATCTAAGAAGTAAATAAGATTGGAAAAAGCAAATGACTATCTTTCTTTTTTATGCTTATTTTCTCACTCAGTCATACTGAATGCAAACAACTCAAGACAGCATCAAGATTTTTCGCATATTAGCATGAAGACATTTAATGACTTGTGAAGGTAGATCATATAGATGAGCCTGCAAATACCATAAACTCAACTTTTTAAATAACAAGATTTACAAGCCAAAATAAACATTTGATTAAAAAAATTCTGCTATTCAAGATAACTCAGATGTCTTTTTTCTCTTTGAGACTGGTAAAGGTTGGGTTTTTAAAAACCTGAAGAGGAATTAGTAATAGGAAAAAAATCCTCAAAGCTTTAAAAAACTCAACTGCTTAGGAATCCATACAACTACTATGCTGGCATGGAAACAGGTATGTATTTTCTGTCACCGAACCATTCACTTTCTTACAGAAGTAGTTCCTCTAAGCCAACTATACAAAGATGTCAATCAGCTCAGCCATGATTCAAATTGAAGTAAATCCTTCAAAAAGAGGAACAAGACATCTCACCCAAAAAGATCTTTTAAATCATTGCTAGCTGAACTGTTATTGGTCATAGTAGTTGATGGCTGTACAAAGTTCTGTGGGTTAAAAAAAGGATTACCCTGCATACCAAAGGCAGATTGTCCTATTAAGTTCATCTGTGTTCCCATTACTGAACTACCCATACCTGGAGAACCTTGAGGAGGTACAAACTGATTAAGCCACTGATTTGGTTTCTGTTGTGATAATTCGTTCATGCTAACTTTGGGTTTCTGAGGGCCAAAGAGATTATTAAGAGCAGACATATCTGTGGGTCTTTGTTGGGTCTGTTTCGCACCAGCAGGAGGAACACTCAAAGTATTAAAGTTTGGCAAAGTGGGAGGTTGTCCCAGAGTCATCTTGCTCACTCCAGATGTGCTTGGACTAGTGAAGAAGTTCTGGTTTGTATTAACTGGCATGCTGAATCCTGAAGTCTGATAGCTCATGTTACCATTTAGGCCATTTGTCAAATTTCTCTTTGAGTTATCAATTGGTGTTGAAAACATCATGCCAAGGCCAGTGGATGGAACAGAAGTGAAGGTACTTGAAGCAGAAAGTTTAGGGGTACTAACAGAAAGGCTGGTCAAAGATGATATATTATCCATCAATGTGTCTGTTAAGTCCTTAGTCTGAAAAACATTAAAGAATTACTTTATCTCCCAAGAAATCAAAATTAAACATTTGACAGACTGAATTAAGAAGGACAAGTTAAATTAAGCTCAACAGTCTACACCAAACTGGTAAACTCGGGCCCCTAGGCCAAATAGTCTGCCATATATTTTTATATGATTTGTACAGATGAATATTTGCAATTAATTTGATGACAGGGAACACTAACTTTAATTAAGTGAAATCTTCTCTCAAGAAACAAGAATTGAAATCTTCTCAATAGTAGATTATTATGAAAAATTACTTTATTTTCATATTTTGAATTCTATCAAAATTTTATAGAATTTTGTTTTCTCTATTATATATAAGTACCTACAAAAATATCCTAAATTTTGCCTCTTGACATACAAAGATTTTTTTTCTCAGAAGAAGGTTATTAATTAAGGGCTAACAAAAAAAGCTCAGTTACGGTGGCATAAGCAGTAGGGTGTTGCTAGTACCACATAAGAGGCCTAGGTTCAAATCCCAGGTCAATCTGAACAGGTCAGGCACGGGTAATACACATCTCTCTAATTCTAGCTAACTGGGGGGGGCTGCAGAAGATGACTATAACAGTGAAACCTTTTAAAAGGCTTCTCTTTTCTGCAGTAGAGGACTACAACAGTGAAACCTTTTAAAAGGCTTCTCTTTTCAAGCAAAAAAAAGGGAGGGAGAGTTATTTTTTATCAAAAATAATTTAAAGAAAGCTTTTAAGATAAAATTACTTCTGAAACCAATGAAACTGTAAACTCTATACAAGTAGGGCCCTCATTCACTGCCATAGCAGTACCTAAAACAATATCTAGAACATAGTAGGAAAAAAACACTGATCAGGTCATGCAAGTATATCTTCCTAAATAAAGTCATAAACCTATTCTACCTGAAAAGCCAAAAACAGAAAATTGTTTTTAGCTCAAAAATACATAGAAGTATGAACACAATATTCTCGATCTTTCCAAAGTGAACAGAGTTGAATTACTACTAAGAGATCTACTCTTTTTTAAGAACCCCTCTTGGACTAGCCATGGCCTGGTAGTTAAGGTGGCTGACTTCCATATGCTGACTACATATACATAGTTTGAGTCCTGAACCTAACAGCTTGAAAAACCATGCCAGTGCATGTGTGTGCCTTCTCAAAATCCCAAGAGGGAGAAACAGAAGAGAAGGAATTGTAGCATGGTCATTCCCCATCAGAGGGTGCTTTCTTGCTTTCTTTTTCTCTGTCTCTCTCGGGCAAGCACACAGCACTATGGCACAAAGAAACAAACAAAAGACCCAGCTCCTATGTATTGGTAACGAGCACTAACATGAAACATTCTACATTAGGTAGATTACGGAGGAGGTGGAAAACCTTATGCTCAGACTTCTCAGAAACTTATATTAAAGTATTCTTTGAAATACATTTTTATATAAACACTAATAAGAAAACTAAGTTCTATATGATCTTATTCCTCAACAGTAGCACATGTAAAACCATGCAAAAGAAATAAACTCTGACCTGTTTGACTGGAGCAATAGGCGTGTGCACTTGGGGTTTGAGAGGTTGCTGGCTTTTCAACTTCTGTGCCTGTTCTTGTTCTTTAGCTAATTTTTGTTTTTCTTCAAGTGTAAGTGATGCCTTAAACCAAAATAAAGCAAAAAAACCAAAATCACTGGCAACTATATTAATTTCACTTATAAAACAAAGCTTTCTTTCTTGATAGAGCTTATCTTAGTATCTTTGGCAATCTTACAATTTCACAAGAAAGAAAACAACTAGGTTGGTGAATGCTGCAGTTAAGTTCTATTTTGTATTACAAAATTTAACTTTAGAATGAAATTTATATGAACAATGCTAAAATATTTTCAGTATAAAAAACAATGATTATTTTGGGACCAGCAGTTGGTGTAATGGCTATGTCACTGGACTCCCATGTAGTCAACCGCAGTTCGAGTCCCAGACCCAGTGGCTTAAATTCATGCCAGGCACATGTGCATGCGTGCCCAAGGTCCCGAGAGGAGAATGGAAGAGAAAGGATTGCAGTGTGGCAATCCCCCCTGGGGGGTGATTTCTCACTTTCTATCTCTCTCTGTCTTTTTGGCAAGCGCACGTGTCCTATAGCAAAAGCCTCCCCCCACCAAAAAACAACAACAATAAAAGCAATGATTATTTTAAAACACTTCATTAGTTCCATTTTTTTCTTCAAATGAGAATGTGATTAAGTGATTTCATTCTACAGAACTGAAGATCCTGTTCAACTCTAATCTATTAAGTCGACAGAAGAGTCATGACATATTTTTGTACGTAAAAATACATCATGACTTCTCTGACAACTTAATGTTTCACTAAAAACATTTCAAGAACTCACCCAAAACTAAAGAAAAACTAAGCAAATGCATTCTTTCACTATTTTTCTGCTGGTTTTTAAAATTTGCTAGAAAATACGTATGCTTGCCAAAGAGAGAGATGGAAAGGAGAAAGCATGTCCCCCATGGGTCACCCAAAAATGCCCTCTCCTCCATTTCTCCTTTCAGTATTCTGGGCACATGCACACGTGCCTGGTGTGTCTTTCAAGTCACTGGATTGGGGACTTAAATCACAACACTGGCTATGTGGGATCCAGCTGCCTTAACCATCATGTCACTGGCTGGCCCCATTTTTTCACTGTTAACATCAAATTCAGTATTTGTCTCTTCCTTATATCAACTTGCTAACCTGCAAGCTTACAATATATTCTCTTAAAATTTTATAAACTACTATATCCTGTAGTCCCTTGGTTTTATACTTGCAGGTATTCATGTCTGGTGGAAAACTTGAAAAATGCCTTCAGCAGAAGTTGAAAAATAAGTATTTTTTCATATTGGATGCTAAACATTTCAATAGGAAAGTGTCATTTTATAACTTATCATTTGAAATCAAAGAGAAAGCAATTTTTTAATAATAGAAAGGAAAAATGATTCAGATTTTTAAAATATACTTGTGAGATGAAAGTAAATCTATTTTGAATACTGTTGGCGGCGCCAGCTGGTAGCATGGCGGCAAGGCAGCTAGATCCCACATGGCTAACTGTGCATTTTGAGTCCTAGACCCCACAGCTTGAAAAACACACTAGGCAGGGGTTGGCAGGTGGTGTGGTGGTTGCAGGTGCTAGACTCCCACACGGCTGATAACAATTTGAGTCCTGGACCTGGCAGTTTGCTTTGTCACCTTCTCCCTTTTTCTCTCTGTCCCTATCTGATAAAATTAAAACAAACAAATAAATAAATAATTCTTTAAAACACACACACACACACACACACACACACATAGGGCATGTGTACATGTGTGCCCAAAATGCTGAAAGGAGAAATGGAGAAGGGACTGAACTGTGACCATCCCCTATAGGGGGGCACTTTCTCACTTTCATTCTCTCTCTCTTTTTCCAACAAGCATACATACCTTCTAGCAATTTTTTCAAAAGAATTAGTTACTTAGTTCTATTTGTTATTATTTTAAAAATGTGATCAGAGAGAAAGCAAGCTGCCAGATCCTGGACTCGAAGCACATGTGGGAATCTAGATCCTTTAACTATCACATCACTTGCCAGCTCCCCTTCAAGCAAATTTTTAAAAATTAAAGACAAAATACTGTTGGTCCACCATTAATGCTGACTTCATGTTCCTGATAGAGTAAATGAAGAAGCGTACAACATTCACTTATGCGGTATTCTGGCCAAATGTGTATAAACCTTAACCTAATTATGAAAATACATCAGACCAACCCAAATCAAGGGTCATGCTCTAAATAACTGACAGTACTCTAAAAACGTCAACTAGGGGACCAGCAGGTGGTTACGGTTAAGGGGCTGGATTCCCATGTGGCTGATTGCGGTTCTAATCCCAGACCTGGAGGATTGCTTTCTCATATTCCCCCTCTCTCAGTCTTATCCTCTCATTCTCTCTCTCTCTCTGGTCAAATTAAAAATAAGTAAATAAAGTTAAATAAAATAAT